AATTCCTATTTCGACCAGCGACTCTAGTATCAGACTCACTTCACTTGGTCCATTGACGGTGTTGTTACTTAAGAGGGTCTCTTTGCTTGCTCAAATATCTTCCCGCAAATCATTGCACATGTCCTTCACCGCTTCAAGCATCTCCTGTCGGGTACTGTCATTGGATTTGCGTGACCTTGTCGACCTCTTCTAAATCGTACGTGAAGACGAGGCAATGTTGGTCAGATTTTCCATTCGTTGGCGTTCCATGCGGCTGCCAAACTCCACTCGAATGTCATCATCATCAATGTCTTGGTACGAAGAGTTTTGCTTGTTTTGTGGTTCCTCAATCCCAGCTCGAACGACATTCGAGGGCACACCGTCCACATGCTCTTGTTCCATGGAGGGGTGGAATGATCTTGCACCAGTAGCGACAACTCGACTGGGGAAAATGGTAGCCAAATGCATGTCGTTCAACTTCCAACTGTTACTGAAAATTGTGTTTACTTCACGGTTTCTCTAGCAAAATTTTAAACAAAATTATAAGTTATTTGCACTTATTACATAAAATGTACGCTACCATATTTTTGAATGAGGGACCACTAATGAATCACACATTATACCTTGGAAAGATCTTTTTGCAGATCCTCTGAGCATGTGAAAGTTTTGTTGATAGAATCTCACCCAACTCCAGTATGGGTTTGCAACATTTTGAATGCTACGTAGACCTTACTAAGTCGGCGGCGTTTCTCTTTAAGGCGCTCACCGGCTGGTACATAGCCATCAAAAAAAGTGGCCATCTGAATAGCCCATTGTTTATAGTCACGAGATTCCGGTTGCTTCCCGTTGTTGGCACAATGGTACTCATAGAGACACTCAAGTAGGAACACCTCCGAATCCGCGCTCCAATACAACGGCCTCTCATCCGCGTTTTTCCTAGGCATCTACAAACGCATATGACAACCAAAAGAAATAAATCTTATGCATCGAGTTTATGTGTGTCTTTCGGAGCTTTACCTTATGGTCTATCTACATAACAATAAGGATTGAAAAATGCCCTGAAAATTACTAGCTAAAGTTGCTAATAAACACTCAATGGCCACTCCAATCCTGGATTAAAAATGTAAAATTTTCAATTGTTTAAGGTTGCTGAATTGTATTCCCAGCCTCTATTGTTTCTTGTAGAATTGTCTATTTAGTTGGATGAAATCCTAGTTGAGGCTAGTCTTTCAACTTAGTCAAAAAAAAATTAAAAATAAAAAAAGAGAAGAAAGAGGGTATCAACTAAAAACATACCCTATTAAATTTTAGAGTCTAAAATCAGCTATCTTTCATCTCTCCCACTCTATCTTCACCTATTCCCGCAACTCCCTCAACCCCTTACAAGAAAACCACCATCCACACCTCCAAACTTGAAATTTCCCCATCCTTTCTCTTCCTAATCCATAGAGGAAGAAACCCTTGCTTTTCTCCTTGTCTTCGAGTTAAAATACATACAGGACTTAAGTCTTATTTGTTGCATTGACCATCAAATTCAACACTATTTTTTTATCATTTCCTATTTCGTTACCTTACACATTTCAAAATACTATCTTCTATGCGTGTTTCCCATCCCGACTTGGCCACAACTGCTTGCAAGGAAACCCATAAATGCTAGCCAACTACACGAGAAGGAACCACTTCTATATGACTATAAGTACACTACAATTCCCTACAAATTTTTCTACCCACTAAAACTCTCAACCCTTTTATATATAAATCAATAAGTAGTGAAAAAGTTTCTCTTGTATCTCATCATCATCATCATCTCACTAGCCATGGAAAAATCATAGGTGAAAATCACTAAAAAAACACATATCAAACCCAACAAGGAAATAGGGAGAAATGAGTGTCAGTTAGTGACATTTGATCTGCCATATTTGGCATTTTACTACAACCAAAAGCTCGTGTTTTACAAGCGGAGTGACTTTGAGGGCATGGTGGTGAAATTGAAAGACGGGCTTGGTGTCGTTTTGGTTTATTTCTATCAGCTAGCGGGGAAGCTTGGGAAAGATGAGGAAGGTGTGTTTAGGGTGGAATACGACAATGAAATGGAAGGTGTGGCAGTTGTTGTGTTATAGTTACTCTACTGGCATAGCAAACTCAGGAGTAAAGAAACATACCATTTCCCGTTAACATTTGCTAATGCTAATGGAGTTTCTGCTTCAATTTCAAATCAAATTGCTTACTAACATTAGTTGCATACAAGGCAAACTGGTTTAAGCGTACTAACATTAGTTGCTTACTAACATCAGTTGCTTACAAACGTGTCAGGGGAACACACGTTGGACACAAAAGGCTTTGACTGTGTTTTTTTTTTGTGTAAATCAATTACCTATGTGAAGAATGAAAAGTCAGATATGATGCTACAACAGAAGATGCAACCGTGTTCTATATTCTATAAATCCCATTTCCACAAAATGCCCTAAATTCTACTGACAACAACCATTTAAGAACACAAACAATCATTGACAGAAACCCTAATCCCCAAACAGGCAAATCAACCGGAGTCTATGTGAGGATCACTTACCGGTAAATTGTTCGAATCTGAGGAGGAGATTAACGTCAATGCCGGCAAAAGACCAAACGCGGATGAAGGTTTTTTATATTTTTCCGATGAGCGTCTTGTTCCTCTCCGGTGAAGGCGTGAAGTGGGCAACCTTTCGTAAAATCGACGAATTTGGTACTGAATGTGAAGCCTCGGTCGTTGTTTACGAGCAGAGCTTTACGCGAAGCATTTCTCATCAACTCAGAGAGGTGAAGATCAACTGGGTTGTTTACACGGTTATTGCCCGAAGAAATGAGGGAAGAGAGGAGTGAAAAATTGAAGAAAGAGGAAGCAGAGAATCTCTGCCAAGACACGACCGGAGGAGTGAAAAATTGGAAGAAGGAGAAAGCAGAGTGTCTCTGCCAAGACACGACACAACACTGGAAGAAATGAGGGAAGATAAGAAGGAGAACCAAGAAAGAGCAGAGAATCTCTGCCAAGACCGAAGGCTGGAAGGATCTCTGGCAGAGAACGTGCTCTCTGGCATATGGTTGGGTGTTGCGGTGAGAATAACTCCACGAAGCACAATGAAAGTACTGTGCAAGGATTGAAATTTTGGGCTGAATCAGGGGGGGCCTGATTCTGAATCAGGACCCCAAAAATGACCCGTAACTCAAGTCTCTGACCTTAATTCATGCGGCACCAAACACGAGGTTGAGCACATGACTCTAATTTTTTGATCAGGATCTCCCAACCAAACGGGCCCTTAGAGTCTAAGCAAGAGTTCACAACCACTCCATCCAACCCTATGAGGGAAAATTTTGATTGATCGTAAATCTCATACAAACCTATCCATTACTTTTCCAAATATAACCTTTGAAACTAACACACGCTTATTTTATAGGACTAGAATACAAATATCTATCTTCAATACCATGTAATTGTACAATGTTGAAACATGCACTTTATTGAAAAATAATTTTCTTTACTTCTTGATCAGGATGGTTACACGCCAACCCTTTATGTTAGATCTCAAATTTGAACCTCCTCACCACTTAAATTAACGATAAATAAGGAAATATGTAAAAATTACTTTCTTCGCGCGTTAAGTCGGAAGCCAAAGATAGAAGACATTAAAGATAACGTACATCTTTTTTTTTTTCCCCTTCTGTTATGATATAAGAGTTGAAAGCTGTTTAGATTGAAATTTGATGTCATACATCTAGAAAGGATTAATCTAGTTAGTGTAATGGTATTGGATTCGGCATATGAGAAAAAAATAGTGTTAACAAGGAATGCTATAGTGTGAACGTTCCTAGGTTCCGAACGTACGAGCGTGCGATGAACTCCACATGATTATTTAGAGTTACTCACCCGACTTAGTTTTCCTCTCAGAAACTACGCTGAAAGGAATAGCAACTTATAGCGGCCGTTTTGGTAATGTTTTTAAAATGATTTTATTTTTCAGTACAAAAGTAAAAATGAAATTATTTTGAGAATTATTTTAGGATCAATTCTAAAATTGTGTTTGATTGATTTTTTTAAGAGATTGTTTTGAGTACAATAAAAAAATAAAATCGTGTATGGTTATAGTTATTAATTAATATATTATAAAATTGTTGGTAAGTACTAAAAAATGAAAACAAAAAAAGAAAAATAATTTTCAACAATTTTCTAATTTCTTCACAAAAACCATTATTACTGTTTTTTTATTTTTAGTTTCGTTTTCAAAACATTTGCTAAACAACACGGTTTGTAAACAGTTTTCATTTTCGTGTCTTAAAAGACATGTATAAACATTTTTAAAAATAATCTGAAACTAATTCTAAACGCACTCATAGATACTGCATTGACTATTTTGTAAGCTTGCGGAGTGGTGAGCAGCGGCGTTTTACCGGTTTTTATGGCCATCCTGAGAAAGCGCAACGGCATCGTTCTTGCCTCGAAAAATACTTTACTACCGAGTACCAGGACTAGAAATAACTCTACTTCACTATGACGCGGAGAGGATGAGATGTTAATTATTTAATCTAATTGAGTTGTCTATCCATTCAATTCAATTCAATTACAATTCAATCCCTACAAATTGAATATCAAATATACATTATATTGGATTCTAAAATGAAAACAAAAACAGAAGTTTGTTGTACTTGTTACGTTTTCGTTTTTAATTAAAACCATAACTTTATTACCGTTAAAAAAACATCTTGTTATGGATATTAAATTGGATCAAATCAAATTTCCAAATTATAAATTAGCTTTGTACAAATACGGGCATCTAATTGGATTTAAGATGGAATGTGATACTTAGAAATATAACCTATATTGGATTGGATTGGTTCAACCGATATAGTGTAAAATGCGAAATAGAGTCTCATCAAGAACTCAATTGACAGGAAGAAACCTTTTGGAACTGTCATGCTTGAGAATTAGAGAGAAAATAATAATAATAATAATAATAATAATAATAATAACTTTTGTGACAGCCATGGAGTTGCAGAATTATAAACAAACTTTAACACTTTAATAGGCAGTCACATAGAAAGGCATTTTATATCATAAAATTTCGGCGTAAAATTGCTACAGATTATGATCCAATCCTAACCAATATTGCTAAGGTATATAACCCTAAAGAGATTATACAACTGATAGCTATAGGTGCAAGCTTGGTACAAAGCAAATCACCATAACCGTAAAGACTCCATGGCCAAGAAATCAATTGAATCCTTCTCTAGGAAAACAATCATCTTCCCTTTCTGAATATAGTCTATAGAAGCGGCCGAGCAATAAGACATGCAGCAACCGGCTTCGCTGCCCCGCATACTGTAGAAAACCAATGTGACTAGGAGACTATATACTCTGTCTAGCTAGATCAATATGTACTTATTGTTGAAGCCAATAACATTTCCTGGACTATGCTAATTTGCATTAGCACGCTTTATCTGTAGAGCAGCTCTCACAACACCGCCTCTTGTAATGATCCCAACCTTTTAACAGTAAAACAGAAACCCATCAGAGACACATCAATGGCAATGTCATGTTGCTATTGTGCATCCAACAAAAGGAAGACGAAGAGGATCATTACCAGCTTACCCTCGCCATCTACAACTGGCAATCGACGATACTTTGTTTCGAGCAGCAACCTGTTGAAATCAAAACTTTATTAAAAGACTGGCTTTGCTTTTGGTTGTTCTGAATAATAATGTAACATAATCACGTATCAAACTTGCAAATCATTGACAACCCATCAAAGCCTAAGAGGATCTTAGACATTCGGAATTTTCATCTCCGATATTCTCATCTTCGAATAGGCAAAACCAAACAGGACAAGGGAACATATGTAGTTACAAATTTGTCAAAACAATGCTTCAACTAGTAAACAAAAATATAGGAAGTGTCATTACCTTGCAGCATCTTCTAGGTTGGTCGTTTCATGAACAACAAGTGGAGCAGAAGTCATCAAGTCACCAACAACTTTACCATTGGTCTTGCTCAGCAGTCTCTGTATTTCGTTGAATGTCTGCAATTTTTATGTTTCATAATTAGCAACTGGTGAAGCAACTAACCACATGCTTCAATATCTACGGATTCTCGACCGATCGACTGAAGCTATCTCAATATGCAAGTGAAAAATGTTGTAACGTGACAGCTTAAGATTCTAGGTTAGATATTACTTCATAAAAAACATAATTCCTTGAACTGAAAATGTGCATAAATTTATTCAGAGTAGCAACATTGACCTCATATCTTTTTGGTTTGAAAGAATAACCTTATACGCTTTCTTAAAAATACTTCAACAGAAGATGAAAGAATCAATGTATCAGTTACAGCATGGTCGGAGCCATTAAAGCCGCAGTGGGGGGCTTAATCCCCCACTCAAAAAAAAAATTTAAAAAAAAAAAAATCTTATATACATAAATGTGATATTATATATTATTGACATATAATTAGCCCCCACAAAATTTAACCCC